GGCGTTGAACATAAAACCAGGCTGCAGTTTCTCTATTAAGAAAGAAATTGTAAAGAGCATCTTAGCAATATAAGCTCTAAAAGCTATATGCTGGTAAAAACTGGTTTAAAGTTTCTATAGATAAAAAATATGCAGAAAAAACATATAAATAATAAATAACAGGATTAAGAAAAGTTAGTATAAAATTCCATGTGCTTGTGATTTATCTTATAGTGTTCATTGACATTTTGCTATAAATTCTTATGAAACAGCTTCCTCTGAATATAGCTCAACTTAAAAATAAATCTCAAGTATGATGAGGATGGCTGGCTATCTTTGGAGAACTGTATTCTGAGAGACACTTTTATGTGTGTTGACTTGGAATTTGGATTACCCCTCCAATAATGTCATTAATAAAACATCAGGTATTTATATCAAATAGTCTTTATGCAAACCAAAATTTAATGTAAAAAGGCAGAACAGTGATGAAAACTTATGTTGCACTTTAAAAGGGAAATGTGAAAGGTAATAATTTAACCATCTAACTGCTTCTAATTTAATCTGTAGCTTAGATATAGTAAACCACACTATATCAAACTTTAAAAGAGTCATAATGCATAATTACATATTCATAGCTATGATAGACTTTTATGAACATTGCAGGCATTGAAATGAACCAAAAACATAAGCATTGGATTAAAATATTGTATACATCTATAATCCTTTTGCTATTTTTTTCATTTTCTTTAATTAAATTCTCAGTTTTACAAGCTAGAAGACCTTTAAACTACCCAAGATACTCAACCCAGAGTTCATGTTTATTTTCAAAGATTTCTTAAATGCTAGCTTGAACATTTAAAAGTTTCCAGGGTAATCAATTTACATGTCATGGTGAAATGGCTTTTCTTTTATACATAAATTGTCATCTCTACTAATGTTCAAATGTAGTGTTAATATGTCTTTTGGTCCCATAAAGCATATAATGAGAACTAAGTTAAATTAAAATACAAACCCTTATCATTTTGGAGCTCCTAATCTCAAAGGTCCTATCTTTGATGAAGAACTGCACTCTGCCCCATCTTGTTTCTCACACCTCAGACTAACAAATAGCAGTTATATTATAGTTGGGGAATCAAGAGAAAAAATTTCAAGTCCACCCCTCGTGGAACAGAAACTGAGAAATGCCATTCTTCATGTGGAAAAATAAAAGTTTCACATTACACAGTGATAGTAAGGTTATGGGGAAAATAGGCTCTCCAGCTTTTTTTAGGAATGCAAATTTCATCCTTACTTATCACTTCTAGAAATTTGTATAAAGAAAAGCAGGAATGCATAAAGTTATATATGTACAAAGATACTTAATGCAGCATTTTGTTTCTAATAGCAAAAAAATAGAAACAATGTACTGCCTATCAGTAGGGAAAATACCTGATGATTACAGTGCATTCCCACAATGAACTACTTCATGTCATTATGAAGAAATAAAAAAGGAATTCATTTGAAGTTGAGACTTTAAGTTTACACTTTGTACTCTCCGTGCTGCTAAAAACATATAGAAGTGATCATAAAATATAACAGGAGAAAGCGAAGGAGACATTGTCTTAATAACAAACAAAATATATCTCTGATGAACAAAAATAAAGTAGAATATCAAAGCTGAAGCTGGGTGCCTGGTTGAGTGCGGTATGGAGGCTGGCAGGAAAGAACAGGAGCTCACATTTTAGGGTTATGGGAAATAAAGCTGTCCCTAGTGAAGCTGGAGACTGGAGCCAGGTTCACCGCTGGAAACCAGAAACACGAATGTAATTCCACTGACTTTTGAAAGGAGAATAAAATATATACATATACTGATGCTAGTAGTTGCTTGCAGTAGTTACTTAAGTGAAGTCATATGCCTAAAAATATGGAAGGACACAGGTACGGCAATTGAACCAAGCCTCTGACTAGCTTAGAGACTGAATTGTATAAAAATCCAATATCATTTTGGGATACAATCCCACACACACAAAAAAATACATATAAGACCTATTTCTGGACCAACAGTTCTGGAAAAAATAGGGTGGGCTGAAGTGAAAGCAGCAACACCTGTAGATAGGGATGAGTAAACACATAAAGCCACAGAGAAAAAAATGAAAGCTCCAATCTAAGGTGAGATTGCAAACCAGAATTCTAAAATGCATAAAGAAAATTATCTCTAAGAAAATCAGTCATCAAAAGTATTACAATATGATTTACTTACTGTTAAATGAAAATGAGACATGCCTAAAAAAGAGTTTAAAATAGGTATATTGAGATCCTCAGAGACAAAAAAAAAAAAAAAGACCATCTCTAAAACAAATAAGAATACTTGTATATATATGACAGGCAGAATAATTGCAATAGGAAGAGCTGGAGAATGAGACTGTCTTAGTCAGTTCAGTCTACTGTAACAAATTGTCATAAACTGGGTGGCTTAAACAACAAATATTTATTTCTCACATTTCTAGAAGCTGGAAGGTCCAATACCAAGGTGCCAGCAGATCCCGTACCCGGTTTTAATCACACTTCCTGGTTTGCAGATGGCAGTCTTCCCATTGTATGAGAGTTCTACCCTCATGACCTAATTACCTCCCAAAGGCCCCACCTCCCAACACCATCACACTGGGGGTTAGGATTTGAACGTGAATTCTGTGGGGACACAAACGTTCAGTTCATAACACCCAGAATAAGAAAAATACAATTCAAAACCATGGTGGGATTACATTTTTTCCAACATCACTTGGGTGATTATTATTAACAAGCCCAATAACATCCCTGTTGGTGAGAATAAAGTAGACACTTTGATGTAACTGGATATTGATAAACCTCTATGGAAAGCCATTTGTCAATATATATCAATGTTTAAAATATGCGTACTATTTCACCTACAGTTCCTCCTCTAAGAATTTATCATATAGATATACTTATGCATTTGAGGAGTAAGAT